ACCCCCCCCCCCTCCCTCCCTCCCACTTTACCGTCTTCACACGACCTTCTGTTGCCACCACATCTTCACCTGCTTATTTCGGGGGGAGCCGGGGGGGCCCCGCGCCATCGCTCGTCGTCGTGCTCAGGCGTGTGCTTTTTATTGTCTTGACTTAGAGGCTCACTTGGGGAAGGACAGACGTGCACAGGGGGCGCCACAGAATTTTTTTTAGATGGACGGTTAGCTCTTATTCTGTTCTCTCGGTCTTCCAGAAGCGACAGTCGGTAGAGAGCAGCGTTCCTCCTCTCCTGTTTGAACGGCTGTTGAAGAAGAAATCATAGAGAACGGGTTTCTTTTATTTCTTTGGCTCGCCTCAGCGTTTTGTCCCACTGAGGTTTGGGAGCCCGTCTCTTTATTTTAGGTCTGCGGGCGCTCAGTTCCTTCCTCCTCAGAGCCCTGTAATAAAACAAGTCCAAAATAGATCCCCGACCTTCAGATATTTTCTAGGATCAGTTCTACTCTTAAGCACTGAGATGTTCTCCTTTATTTTTTTTAAGTTTACGACTAGGATTTGTTTTGTTATTGTTTTAGACATCATGTTAATTTTTGTTCAGCCTTGGGACGGTTGTTGTGTGTTACCGCAGGTGATGTTTGTGCGAGTAATAACCTTCATCTCCCACGAAGATGCGACTGAAGTCTCAACACTGTAACCTAGCAACGCGTGCGATAGGAAGAGATGTTATTTGTTGTGGTGTTCTGGAGGACGTGCCCCAGTTTGTCTTTAATGGATGTTTATGCAGCCGAGGAGAGAAGAGTATGAAATAGTTAAGAGGTTTATTCTGTAATAATTACAGGAAGCTGATTCCCTGCACTGACGTCAGAAAATCCCTCCTCTGACCATTCAATCATAAATATATTTAAAGAGGAGGTACACATAGTTTTCCTTCTAATAGAGTAATGGTTACAATTTTAATATTTTTAATTTTATGTTTTTAGTTTTGAATGGTAAGATTTTGTTGCTTTTTTCCCCCTTCCTTGCAAGTACTGAATGTACTGAGAATTAAAAACATAATAAATTTAAATTGGTTTTCAGCCTGTGTGTGGATGTTTTTGCTTGACTCATTTATTGACAGAGAGAAATGTTTGTTGTAATAAAATGAATGTGTGACCCAATACGAGCACGTAGACCATTACCTGAACACAAATGAAAATATTTATTACAACATACAGAAATTACAGTAATGTTTTTCCCCAAATTGTACAGAATCACGTAACAAATCTTACAGTAAAGTCAAATTTAAGTGCAAAATGTTTGCTAGCGATAATATATGTACAAAACAGTTTAGCAAAATCCCTTGTTCTTCTACAGCAAACAGTAGCCACATTGGGGTCAAAACAAAAAAAAGCAGTAGTTTTTTTTCCCCCCGTTCCCTTATAACTATGGTACAGTAATAGTACAGCAGGAAGTACATGTGACGCAAAGGTCTGATCCATAAAATGAATCAGTGGAAATGTCTGGACATCAGCAGTTTGATCTTCAGGAAAAGATGCGTTACTGATCAAAAAGCACATTACAGAATGACAGCATGTTAAGACCAGCTTGTTCGAGACGTACACAGCTGCACAGATCAGTGTGTGTTGTGAGGGGGAATGTTGTGTGTGTCGCACGCTCTGGTCATGTGACAGGAGTGGCAGAGGAGATGAGAGTCCAGAGGGAAGCACTGCGAGCCGGGCTTATCAGAGAGCTGCTTACCACACTCCTGGGGGGGGGGGAAAGACGCAGATAAGGACAGGAATGCACACAGGAAGTGAGGTCAGACATCAAGGCATTTCATAACACAAGTCAGGATGGAAACGGGGACAAAATGTGCAACAAAGATCACTTACCTCGCAGTGGTAGCACTCAAAGTGATAATCCTTGTTCATAGACACGACCCTGAGGATCTCTTCACTGCCCTGAGACACAAAACAACCCTTTCAATATGCAGTCATTTAACAAAGAAGTGCTAGATTGTGAAACACTCTAGTGTGGTTGCCTGAAACTAGTTCCTATCTTTTCATAGCGTGTAAAAGTTTGCTTAGAAAACGTTTGAAGTTGACAAACACCAACCGACTCGCACACAATGTTTACGGTTAAGTACAAAGACAAGTAATAAGAAAACGCCTCCAGCCAACACTTGCAAGTTAAACACAGAAACACTTGTATTTACCTCAGTCGGTAAGATGGGTTGTAAACAGGCCGCGCACTTCGGGGCAAAAGTCCTGCAGAAACGACAGGAGAAAGTTTATTTAGTGAGGACACCAGCAGCACAATAACATCTTTGTTACATATTAAAGAGGTCTATTTGGAATGTTCTCTTCCCTATAGTGTGTTATATATATAGGTTTGTGTGCATGTCAATGGTCCGAAACGCCTCCATTGGACTCCTTTGTTTACTTCCAGAACATCACCACTTAATACTCTCGCTTCTATTGGCTAGCACACATTGTACGTGATAGGCTAAAGGGCGGGACACCTCTAAGCGGATACAATCACAACAGATCCGGCCAGCTAACCAATCAGAGCAGACTGGGCTCTGGTTTCAGACAGAGGGTGAAAAGAGGTGCTGCAGCAGCGGCAGTATGAGAAAAATAAAGAACTTTTTGAACATGAAAGCATGGAGACATGTCTCAGTAGAGAGCATAATAGGGTCCCTTTAATAAAAGTGTAAAAGTAAATGTCTCACTTGTTGTAGTCTGCCACGCAGTAGATGTTGCTGTTGTGGTCCACAGTGAAGGGGACCCCATCCAGAGCCTTGGAGCACACCACACAGCGGAAACAGCCGGGGTGGTACGAGTTCCCCAGAGCCTGCAGGATCTGAGCAGGAGAATCCAGATGAAGAGTATTATTCAAATGTGTTACTCCAAATCTAACTGGCTGACACTCCATGCTATGTGTGTCTGATTTAGTTTATCGATGTGTTTGTTTTCAACTCAAGTTTGTTCTTAGTTCATCGTCCAATTGATCAGACTCAGAATGTCCGATTGCTGCAGTCGATACATGCTAAAAGAATAAAGTTAATTGTTGTCTTTTGACATTTTCTGACCATTCCCATTTAGCTTTCGAGCCTGTAGCTTGTCTTCGAATGTATACCCTACATTTCCGACATTTTGGATAAATTAGCCTTTCTGTATTTTAATTGATAAAACTCCTTTCCTTTTTACATTACATTACTTGTTAGACGCTTTTATCCAAAGCGACTTACATACTCAATACTGTGGGAAATCCCCACAGGAGCAATTTGGGGTGAAGTGTCTCAGGGACACAACGACATGCTGACTCAGTGGGGTTTGAACCTGTGACCATCTGATCCCCAGACGCGCTATCCACTGCGCCACACGCCTTTTTAGTTTTGTATCAGACCAGAAAATAGTCAATGTGGTATGTGAAAGTATTATTTTCCTCATATATTTACATTTGAGCTATGAGTTTTGCACCAGCTCGTTTTAGGCCTCAAATGTTTGCAGTAATAAAACTCAAATGTGGTTCAAATGATGCAGAAAACGATGGCTGGATCACACGCTCTCTCTGCAAGCTTTCTATTTATATTATGGGTCTTAGCGGTTCAAATATGGTAAAAACTTTAAAGATAATCACTACAGAGCCATATTTTTGTGTTTATCCAAAAACCCAAGGCAAACATTCCTCTGAAGATCATCCGTGGGAACCCGAAGAGGGGCCAACAAAAAGATGTCACTGAATTTCTCAATCCTCCAGGGGGGGGAAAGGCATTCTGGGTAACATGGGACGCAAGTGTCTAAAAGTTTCACAGGGCAGGGCACCTTTTCTTTAAATCTAGCTTAAGTCTTCTTCGTGTAGCATGTTTACACACACACACACACACACACACACACACACACACACACACACACACACACACACACACACACACACACACACACACACACACACACACACACACACACACAGCTCACCTGTTCCAGAATGAGATGGCCACACACACTGCACTTCTCCGCATTAGCCTGGAATCCCGAAAACTGTAATTACAACAAAGAGATTAGCGAGAAAAATCAATCCTCTGACTCGGAATATGGGAATGTGTGTGTGTGTGTGTGTGTGTGTGTGTGTGTGTGTGTGTGTGTGTGTGTGTGTGTGTGTGTGTGTGTGTGTGTGTGTGTGTGTGTGTTTGTGTGTGTGTGTGTGTGGGATGACAAAACACGCCTTGACCTCAACTCTTACCATGTAATCCTCTTTACAGTACACAGAGCCGCTGACATTGTAGAAGTCCTTGTTTCTCAGGGTGCGTCCTGCAGGACAGTTTGGAAAAGGTGTCGGTGATGGAAATCAATTTAATCTTTGTTGTGTTTGTGGGCGNTGCACCTAATATTCCAACTTTTTGTTTACTTTGTTTCTCTTTTAATTGTATTAATATGTCCTTGGGAATGCATCTGTTCCCTCTCCCATCCCCATTTGTTATGCAACAAATGGGGATGGGAGAGGGAACAGATGCATTCCCAAGGACATATTAATACAATTAAAAGAGAAACAAAGTAAACAAAAAGTTGGAATATTAGGTGCAAAAGTGAGGGAGCAGGTTGGTCACTGTATTGCATCTGTTCGGAGCAACCAATCTTCCCAATTCTGAAGTTAGCTACATTAATTGCAAATTTTCTTACCTTTCCCCTTTGAACCTCAAAATGGATGCTACTTTAATCCTCAATTCAAAATCCACTTTTCGTTTTTTGTTTGGATCACACAAATGTTACCTGCTCTTAGCTTCCTCAGATTCTTATAGGCTACCAGCTACCATCCACCAACTACAAAGTCGCACAACTAAGAAAGAGGATTGTAGTTTGAAATAGAGGAAATGGTGACCAACACAATACACTTATATGCAACCCGGTATCACGGCAAGACGTGAACATGTGACGATTTACCATGCTGGGAGACGCGAAGATGTCACGATTTCGTCCCTTCAAACGTGAAAGTTACACGGCATTGTTAACATGGCCCAACCACCAGTGGAGGTATACCCGGAAATGCCATTTATGCTACCCCGACGGTCGGTTGTTATTGTCATTATTAATATAATAATGATTTATTTTTTAATAGTCACACTAGATTATGCCGATTTTCTTGTTGCCCCAGCTGGTCGACACCTATTTTAGCAGAAACAAAGGCTACATTAATGTATTAAATCGATGTTAATCCATGTGTGTGGATGTGGAATTAACGGACGTGACGACGTGTGATTGCATTGCCAGGCAACAGCTTCGGTTCATGTTAATTTACAAACTCTTCCACTAGAACAGTAGTTATATTTAAAAACATTTTAGAAGGCCTCACGAAATACTTTAATGTAAATTACAATTTAAATGTGAAGGAATGTGTGTATAAGAAAATACATCCCTCATTAACAATACCGGAAACTTACGTAGGCAAGATCCTCAGCTCGGTAATTCGATGGTTTAGCCGCAATGCACGTTGGGAAATGGTGTTTATGCGATATGAAATCCGAACAAATTTTTTCAAAATAAAATAATACTTTATTCCGAGTGTGCTTGCTTTTCTCTTTGAAAGTCATCACATAACGGCATTGTAATACACGGTTCGGCTGCATTAAATATTACATATCTGCCGTAGTTCTCTATTTATAGAGCCCTGATNTCCCCTGTGCAATTCCAGTCTCACATCTCACATCACATCGTCATTAACAAATACCGGAAACAGACCGAAAACATTAAAAAAAAAAATTATAATACTTTATTCCGAGTGTTCTTGTTTTTCTCTTTGAAAGTCATCACATAACGGCATTGTAATACACGGTTCGGCTGCATTAAATATTACATATCTGCCGTAGTTCTCTATTTATAGAGCCCTGATCCTCGGCTCCTCCGCTCGCATCTCCTGTGGGCACTATTGACATAGTCGTATGAAATTGCATTGTTTCATATGCCAACCATGTTATTTGCAGCAATGTATTTTAGTGCTGTCCTCTACTAAATTATAAACAAAGTTGGATTACAGTAGATAGTTGATGTTACTCTGCAAGTAAAAAGCTGCATAGTTCACTTAATACATAAGCACACTAGTTTCTTTGATTCCACATAAAATTATTCTCTCAACTAAATGTAAAGAGATATTATTAGATGTATCGAGTAGCTTAGTTATTGTTCATTGTTCAAATACAGTGTGATCTCACTAGGTGGCAGGTTCTTACAGATAAGTCTGACTTATTTCTGCGTGTGTCACAGTGGTGACAATAATGGGAAATAAAAGCTTTCTATAAAAGGGAGCTGGGTTCTGAGGATCTTATTCTTATTTTCAACAGGATACAATTCAGATCATTTAGTAGGGATTTTGTGGAAAATGTTGATATAAATATATTATTAAAAACCCAAATTACATTTTTGAAATACAAAAATGTTCCATAACCCGGCTGTCGAGCACAGTTATTTTGAACTTTTCTGAAATAATTTTGAGCAGCAAATTGCTTTCTAGTACTTCAATTTAAATGGCAATCATAAACTGTGAGACTGACTGACTATGACTAATTTGTCTGGTTAAAAATCCGTTTTATTTGGAAATGCATTACAGCTGGAATAAACCTAATAGTTAACAATTGTTTTTTTTTGTTAAAATTAAAAAAGTATATTTCCAATATTTTATGAATTGCTTCTGATACATTGATTATTAGTTTCTTTAATACAGTGAACAAGTAAACACCAAGGCCATAATGCATAGACTATAAAAAATAAATATACCTCATCTGTTTCAATACTGCACAAGTTCCCAGGCTTATACCTCCACGATACCTTCCAGAGAGGCAGCAAATAGATAAAAATGACACTCCCCTTAAATCCCCTATGGATAAATGCTTGGTTAAGTGCTCTTTCGACCAGTATATTGTTGCCTTGTAAAGAAGATTTGTTTCATAGAAAACAATTTATGCTGTAAGTTCTCCTGCTGTAAGTAAGACGGGAGAGCATTCTCACAATTATCAATTTATTTTGATCAAGTTTTAGCTCCTGCCTGTTTTGAGAACAGAGGCAAAAAAAGAGCTTGACACACTTTTTTGTGTTGCCCTCTATTGAGCACTGCCTACAGCTTTTCTTTCACATCGGATAATGTGAATTTGTTCCGTTCCAAGCATTTCTGGCGACAAACCATTTAGATTTTTCCATGGGCTATTTCTCATCTCCCTGATTTAATGTTATGTTTTAGGCTATGGTATCTCAATTGGCAGTCCATGAGGTTTGACGTACTGTATATTCAGTATATAAACAATACATTTGGTAATATCATGTATTATCTATGAAATATAAAGTAATATACAGTAAATCTGTAGCTCTCTTGATAAAACACTAAACATGTAGGAAAATCAGGAACAGTAGAACGTTAATAAATCTGGTTTTCTAGTACAATTTGACAGAATCTCTCATACAAAGTTCAGTCTGCAGTCTTTCAGTCTTTTTCAATTTGACTGTCATGCCGTTGTCTATGCTCTTCATCACCTAAGTGATTCTGGACCCAGACCTTTCACGTTATTTGAAAATATAAAAGCCCTATTAACATTTTATTTTTGATTATAAAAATAATGCTTTATTTAACATAAATGTTGTTAGGCTTGAACTATTATGAAATTGGTTGGATGACTTTGATATTTATTTTTAGGTGCATTGGTAACATAAACTTTGACGGATAAGGTAAAATAAATTAATGCACCAGTTCGAATGCAGCAAACTTCTCTGTCTGTAAGGTTTTTCTTTATTTCATTGAGTAATCCCTTAATGCTAAGTTCATTGTAATGCATTGTTCTTTAAGTTAAAGAGAATGGATTTTTGAAATTTAAATAACTTTGCATAGAACTGCTAAAGTAAAATCAAATTTCAGAAATGCAACTATCAATTGTTTGATAATGTAAAGTACTGTATAAATTAAAAATATTCTAGATTTCTATGACTTCATCACAGCACTCTTCCAATAAATAAAGTATTGTAATATGGTGTAGCACAAATTGGATTTCAACTTGCATTGGACAGGGCTCATGCACTCCACATGATTGACTAAGACCCAGTTACAAAATCAAATTACAAATACATGTTTACTTTAGATCCATAGCAAAACAAAAACAGATTAGTGAACAATGTTTTATTGATTTTGTAATAACTAAGAATATAGAGTATATGAATGCATGTGGTGCTAACAGGTGATTTGTAAAAAGCTCTGTTTCAATCAATGTTGCCCTCAAAGACCAAGAGAAGGATAACATTTTAACACAGGAACAGCAACACATATCCACACACATGCACACATTTAACATGCAATCGGTTGATCCGAGATGAAATATTGATCATCACTAAAGGTTCAATCTTAAATCTTCATGTGTCCCTGATATGTGTAGCAACCTGAATGGCAAGTACTAGACAGTAGATGTGGTGAATTATTAATATTCACAATGAATACTGGATGGATTCCTTTTCCAGTGAAGTGCTACTAATACCCGAAACAGAGACTTTAGTGCTTTGATCAGGATTTCTGTCTATCCTCAAATGTTGTAAAACCACAGACATCCTGCAGTAAAAAGTCACTTTCTTCACCACTCCAACACTTTACAAATCTTTCAATAATATATAAGTGCCTTTAATTCTACAGTGGGTGGTCAGCTCTGATCCTCGTTTGTTAGAATGAAACTATGTTTTATGTTTTATAATTTGGAAATAATTGCACTCTTTTTTATATCTCACATTTTGCACTTAGAAGGGACATTATTTCCCTCGATAAGCTTCCCTCAATAACTTTTAAAATTTTCTCCATGGTGAGGTTTATCATTAATATTCTGTCTTTAACCCCTCTTCAGACCTTTTATCTTGGATTAACAGCTATAATAGTAATGGCCAGACGGTGTTAATTTGAAAAATCAACAAATGAATCAGCTCTAGAGGGATTCGCAGGTGGAGGGTGAGACTTGTTTTCTCTGGGCAATGCCTTGCAGTACATTTGGCTGGACAAGAAAATCCCCATGGCAGCACACAGGAGAAGGGCATGATGGAGCAGATGGCTAGCCCTTTATTCTCCTCACTTGAGCTTGCCAGACAGACGATGCTACAGGTGGGACAAGATGTCCAAGCTGGATTAAGGCCCAGTCCCAGGTGTCCTCCCCCTTACTTGCTCCGTCTCTCTTTGCTCTCTGCAGTTCTCTTGCAATCCAACCCCTTTCTCCTTCACATCGTCCCTCTTGTTGTGTTCACTTCCTTAATTCCTTTCAATTCCTCCCCCTCTTTCTTTCCTGAAGCCAAAGATCAGTTGGCTACAATCACAGGCCAGGTGAAGGGAAGTCAACTGCAGCCAAGGAGAAAGCTGACATATCTGTTAGCTGGAGGGGCCTGTCCAGGTGCGTGCTCCAGTAGGTAACAGCCAGTTGCTGACAGGAAGCCTGGCAAATAAAGAGGAGGTGATGTGGCTCTGATGTTTTTCCAAGCCAACATAAAAAATACTCAAAGGAAAGGTTATTGTCACAGTAACATACTGGATTCAATAAATGTCTCTTAGATGCATTTATTAGGCACGTTTTTTAAAATTACAAAATAACTCTATTTTTGTTTGAATGTCATCAGGATTTCGAAAGAAAATTCTCTTTTGGACCTAACCTTCCAACTTTCAATTCAATAAACTTGCTGGAAGGATGTTGCATTACAAAATGAGTTCCCAACTGGGAAAATGAACGTAAACAATACATATTTGTGTTTTTCCACTAATATGTAATAAAACAACAACACATCTTCTGTGTAGCATCCATGTTTTTTTTCACATTACAACAGATTACCTCCTTCTTATGAGCATCTTAATGCACATTTGGACTTTATTGGAGGTCCACCCTCGAGCGCCCTTTTCATTATTACTATATGAATGATTACATTGAGATTACACAAGATCATGGTGATAACTGTTAATAGGTCATCACAAACAGTGGCGGCTTGTGGAAAATATTTTTGGTGGGGCTATGGAAATGGTGACAAAACCATACTAGGGCGGTCCAGGGGATCGTCCCCCGGAATAATTTTTTGAGAAATTACCCCTTAAATTATGACTTCTGGTGATGTTAGAGGGAAGGGGGTGGGGGGGGGAGGACAAATTGAGGCTTAAAAATATGAGATAATCCATAATCTTCAGTGTGGTTAGCTATGAATCTTCCTGTGCAACAGTACAGTAGGCCCACACAAACTGCAGAACACTGGTGCTTTGGGAAGACTCAGATGATTTAATTCCCATTTAAAATCAAGAGACTAAATACGAACATTGTGTGTGTGTGTGTGTGTGTGTGTGTGTGTGTGTGTGTGTGTGTGTGTGTGTGTGTGTGTGTGTGTGTGTGTGTGTGTGTCATACTTGCCACCCCTCCCGATTTTCTCCCGATTTCTGACAAAATCAGATTTACTCACGAATGTTTCCACTCGGACTTTAATACAGCTACACCATTGTTTGGTTTCCATGGTAGCGTGTCTCTTTAGCAGCGTGCGCAACTCAAAGTACTGAGAGGGTGAGGAAGAATGAAACTAGAACAAGAATCGACAACTCCACCCTCTGCTCATTCCTTTCCTGTAAAATACAGGTGCAGCCCACACTTATGCTCCATGGTGCTACAGGCATTGCCTTGACTACAATAAGCATGTAAATGTTAATCTACAGCTCCGGCGATCCACTAGCACCGGAGTCTGCACCTGCAGACAACTACTGTAGCGTAACCTTGGATACGAGTCCAAACAACTCACAGGTCAGGGCGCTGACAGGGCGCCCTTTGAGCATCAGATCTGACGACGCTGATTGGCTGAAATTATGTTTCGGCGGCATAGTTTACAGATAGCAACAGTCAGCTTGTTGGCTGCTGCTGCTCCGGCTGAGGGCTCCTTTCTACCGCCCGGACGAGAGAGGATAATGATACACGCTGCGGCCAGGCAAGAAACATGTGACTTATCAGTAACTTTAGACATCGTAAAACAATTTTAAACGAGATTTTATTGTAGATTATACATTTTACTGATACAACTATATATATTTACCTTGTTCTTTAAAAATTAAATTAAAACATTTAAAAAATATTTTTGGAAAGGTGGAGAAATTGATTTTTTTTATTTATTTTTTATTTTAATTACAATCAAACCATGTGGGAAGAACGGGGGCGGCGGCCCCTAAGCGCCCCTCGTATGGCCCCGGCCGCCACTGATCCAAGAGTATGGGATCAAATACACGAAGTCAGGTATTATGTTGCAGCTCTCTCTGGGCTGCTGAGTATGTTAAACCTATCAGTCAGGTTGCGTACAGGCTCACAAGTCACTTTAACCCAGTTACGATGCAGCACAGTCATTTATTTTGACGCCATTTGTTCCAAAGAAGGAAGGTTC